TATGGGGTCAGTTATGGGTCAGTTATGGGTCAGTTATGGGTCAGTTATGGGTCAGTTATGGGGCAGTTATGGGGCAGTTATGGGGCAGTTATGGGTCAGTTATGGGGCAGTTATGAGGCAGTTATGGGGTCAGTTATGGGGCAGTTATGGGTCAGTTATGGGGCAGTTATGGGTCAGTTATGGGGCAGTTATGGGGCAGTTATGGGTCAGTTATGGGGCAGTTATGGGGCAGTTATGGGGCAGTTATGGGGCAGTTATGGGTCAGTTATGGGGCAGTTATGGGTCAGTTATGGGTCAGTTATGGGGCCGTTATGGGTCAGTTATGGGGTCAGTTATGGGGTTATAGGGTCAGTTATGGGTCAGTTATGGGTCAGTTATGGGGCAGTTATGGGTCAGTTATGGGGCAGTTATGAGGCAGTTATGGGGTCAGTTATGGGTCAGTTATGGGTCAGTTATGGGTCAGTTATGGGTCAGTTATGGGTCAGTTATGGGGCAGTTATGGGGCAGTTATGGGGCAGTTATGGGGCAGTTATGAGGCAGTTATGGGGTCAGTTATGGGTCAGTTATGGGTCAGTTATGGGGCAGTTATGGGTCAGTTATGGGGTCAGTTATGGGGTTATAGGGTCAGTTATGGGTCAGTTATGGGTCAGTTATGGGTCAGTTATGGGTCAGTTATGGGTCAGATTTGGGTCCATTATTGGTCACTTTTGGGGTCAGTTTGGGGTCATTAATGGGTCAGTTATGGGGTCACTTTTGAGGTCAGTTTTGGGGTCAATTTTGGGGTCAGTTGGGTTGGTTTTGACGTCAGTTTTGGGGTCAGTTTTGGGGTTAATTGGGTCGATTTTGGGGTCAGTTTTGGGGTTAGTTGGGTCAGTTTTGGGATCAGTTTTGGGTCGTTTTTGGGTCGATTTTGGGGTCAGTTTTGGGATTGGTTGGGTCAGTTTTTGGCTCAGTTTTGGGTCGGTTTTGGGATCAGTTTTGGGGTCGTTTTTGGGTCGATTTTGGGGTCAGTTTTGGGATTGGTTGGGTCAGTTTTTGGCTCAGTTTTGGGTCGGTTTTAGGGTCTGTTTTGGGTCGGTTTTGGGTCAGTTTTGGGTCAGTTTTGGGTCGGTTTTGGGTCAGTTTTGGGATCATTTTTGGGTTGGTTTTGGGGTCTGTTTTGGGGCGGTTGTGGGTCGGTTTCGGGGTGCGCACCTTTGGGTGGCAACCCCAGCATGCAGCAGGGTTTTGGGGTGGTTCGGGGGGTTTTTTGGGGTGAGGATCCCGTTTTTTGGGTCTGTTTTGGGGTGCGCACCTTCGGGGGGCAGCCCCAGCATGCAGGGGGGGTTCGGGGGGTTTTCTGGGGTGAAGAACTCGTTTTTGGGGTGAATTTTGGGATCGCACCTTCGGGGGGCAGCCCCAGCACGCAGGGGGGGTTCGGGGGGTTTTTTGGGGTGGGGATCCCGTTTTTGGGGTCGGTTTCGGGGTGCGCACCTTCGGGGGGCAGCCCCAGCATGCAGAAGGGCGCGCTCCGGCAGATCACCTCCTGCATGATGATGCCGATGCCGTAGACGTCCCCCCGGAAGGACCCGCGCCGCTCCAGGGCCTCGTCCCGCAGCAGCTCCGGCGCCGTCCACAGCCGCTCTGGGGGGCGGGGCCAGCCTCGGACACGCCCACCCAGACCCCAAGACACGCCCACCCCGATAAACCACAGCCAGGAACACGCCCACCCCGATAAACCACACCCATGGACACGCCCACCCCAATAAACCACAGCCAGGAACACGACCACCCCGATAAACCACACCCATGGACACGCCCACCCCGATAAACCACGCCCATGGACACGCCCACCCCTATAAGCCACGCCCAGGGACACGCCCACCCCAATAAACCACAGCCAGGAACACGCCCACCCCGATAGGCCACGCCCAGGGACACGCCCATCCCAATAAACCACAGCCAGGAACACGCCCACCCCGATAAACCACGCCCAGGGACACGCCCACCCCAATAAACCACAACCGCCCACCCCGATAAACCACGCCCAGGGACACGCCCACCCCGATAAACCACGCCCAGGGACACGCCCACCCCGATAAACCACGCCCAGGGACACGCCCACTCCGATAAACCACACCCATGGACACGCCCACCCCGATAAACCACACCCATGGACACGACCACCCCGATAAACCACAGCCAGGAACACGCCCACCCCAATAAACCACAGCCAGGAACACGCCCACCCCGATAAACCACACCCATGGACACGCCCATCCCGATAAACCACGCCCAGGGACACGCCCACCCCAATAAACCACACACAGGGACACGCCCCCAATAAACCACGCCCAGGAATACGCCCACCCTGATAAACCACGCCCAGGAATACGCCCACCCCGATAAACCACGCCCAGCCCACCCCAGGAGCCAATGGGAGTGGGATTGAGGGCGTGGCCACGCCCCCCATGCCCAGCTTGAAGCCACGCCCACTTTAGACACAGGGGCGTATCACTACGTGAACACGCCCCCTTTTATGCAAGCCACGCCCCCTTCTCCGTGGCCACCATGCAGGGGAGGTGTCGTTAATGAACGGTCTGGCCACGCCCACTCATCAGGCCACGCCCACTTCAAGGAGATCCCGCCGTGATCGTGTTGGGTGGGTGTGGCCACACCCCCGCCCCTCACCCCCAGACCACACCCATAGGCCACGCCCCTAAACAGAAAACCACGCCCCCAAGCGATGGCCACACCCCTAAATCAAAGCCCTGCCCCTTTCCACAGGCCACGCCCACCCACGGGGCCACGCCCCTTCCCTCCGTGAAGCCACGCCCCATTGGCCACTCCCAGAGCCACGCCCAGCCCAAAAGCCACGCCCCTATTTAGTCTCTGGAGGCCACGCCCACGAGGGCACATCCTTTAGGCCACACCCACAATAAATTATGGCACCAGGACACGCCCACAAGGCCACGCCCATTAGGCCACGCCCACACGAGGTTATACCCATTATACCACGCCCACTAGGCCACACCCAGAAGTGGTTATACCATGAGGCCACGCCCACTAAGGCCACACCCATAAAGTTGGTCCAATTAGGCCACGCCCATTTTGCCACGCCCACAAGGCAACACCCATGCGGCCACACCCACGAGGCCACACCCACAAGTTGACATCAATGAGGCCACACCCATTAGGCCACACCCACATGGCCACGCCCCATCAGGCCCCGCCCCCGGCCCCGCCCTCACCGTGGGGCTGTGGGGGCGGGGCCGGCACGCGCTGCGCCTCCAGCAGTTGGTTGTAGCCGTGGTCGGTGACCTTGAGCACGAAGCGCCCGTCCACCACGCAGTTCCGCGACTTGAGGCGCCCGTGCACCACGTCCCGGTGGTGCAGGTACCGCACGCCCTGCCGGACGGCACGGTCAACAAGGTCATGGTCCACCATGGACATCATGGTCAACAAGGTCATGGTCAACCATGGACATCATGGTCAACAAGGCCATGGTCAACAAGGCCATGGTCAACCATGGACATCATGGTCAATGAGGCCATGGTCAACAAGGCCATGGTCAACTGTCAATGCCATGGTCAACAAGGCCATGGTCAACCATTGACATAATGGTCAACAAGGCCATGGTCAACCATCAATGCCATGGTCAACAAAGCCATGGTCAACCATTGACATCATGGTCAACAAGGCCATGGTCAACTGGCAATGCCATGGTCAACAAGGGCATGGTCAACCATTGACATCATGGTCAACAAGGCCATGGTCAACCATCAATGCCATGGTCAACAAGGCCATGGTCAACCATTGACATCATGGTCAACAGGGCCACGGTCAGCAAGGTCATGGTCAACCATTGACATCATGGTCAACAAGGCCACGGACAACAAGGCCATGGTCAACCATTGACATCATGGTCAACAAGGCCATGGTCAACAAGACCATGGTCAACAATCAACACCATGGTCAACCATCAATGTTATGGTCAGACATCAGTGTCATGGTCAACAAGGCCATGGTCAACCATCAGTGTCATGGTGAACAATCAACACCATGGTCAACCATCAATGTCATGGTCATCAACACCATAGTCAACAAGGCCATGGTCAACAATCAACATCATGGTCAACAAGGCCAAGGTCACCACACCTAAGGTTACCACAGCCAAGGTCAATGGCATCATGGTCAACAATCAACGTCATGGCCAACAATCAACACCATAGTCAACGTCACCATTGTCAACAATGCCTGACAACATGGTCTACAACGTTGTAGACCACAAGCCCATGACCACCCTTTGGCCACCAAGCCACCAAGGCCACCCCGCGGCCACCTTGATGAGGTCGATGAGGAGGGAGGACTTGAACATCCAGTCGAGCTTCATGTCCTCGTTGCGCAGCAGGTCCTCCAGGCTGCCGCGCGAGCAGTGCTCCGACACGATGGCGAAGATGCCGCAGTCGTGGAAGAAGCCCAGGAACAGGTTCACGTTCTCGTGCCGCAGGTCCCGCAGCTGGAGGGGACACCGGGATGGGGTGGGGGTGGCCCCA